AACGTATTCACCTGACTTTAATAACATTTATTACTTAATGGAAACACTGCAGCTGTGAAACTGTGTTTTTTCAACATTAGAATATCGATAAAGTTTTGTGCACATTTGTAATGGAAACACAGCTCATGAGGCCTGCTCAGTGCTGTACTGTGAACCTGACTGGAGTCAGAAGATTGTAAATAAAGTTTTAAGAAGAAATCCAGCTGATTCCTGTTTGTTCAGACAGATCATTTTGAACAAAGCATATTTTTCCTYCAGCATGAAGAGACTGTGAGTGCTGATAGATCACAAAGTTTTTGGGTGTTGGGCAGTAGTCAGTATGGATTCCTTCAAGCAGTATTTATTTTTGTCTCTGAACCAGTTCTCAGTGGGAGTGTCTGCAGATAAAACCGGTGATGGTGCCAGCAGCCTGGTCTCTGTCATGCTGCTCAGAGGCATACTCCTCAGACTAAACTTTCAAAGAACGTTTGTTTGTCACAGATTACTTCACGACGGCACACCTTTAAAGTCCTAATCAAATCAGAAGTTGCTCCTTTCCACAAATATTTATCAGGACATAAAAGCAGCACTGGTTCAACCTGAGCCTGAAGAGGACTTCTTAACAACATCAGGAAGCAGATGAGACATAAGCCAGGTAACTAGAGCAGATATASTTTTATATTTAGTAAGCCAAAGAAAAGCAGAGAAAAGAAGTGCTTCCTGTTTAAAAGCACAAAGCTGCTGAATGAATCCTATTTATCACTGTTGGTTTTCACAAGTGAAATCTGTCAAACTGACATTTTGGAAAAACTCATTTGTTGTCTCGCAGAGACAAACGCAAAAAACAACAAAACTCCTCAGATTTATTCTTCACAACATCTTGGTGTTAAAATAGTAGCAAATCTTTGTAAAAGGTTTGAACAAATGTGTATTAATGTGCTAATCGAATGTAAGTTTTAAGACAATGAACGAAAAAATACTTGAAGTAGGGCTGCACAAAACATACAAATCAGGGATGTAACTTAAATGATGGAATGGGTCACAATGTTTGTTGACTCTACCTGAGGACCCTTTAGCCTTGCACGTAATAAAACCAACGTTTTAAAAGGTTTGTGTGMGTTTATTAAACCAACACACAGTGCAGTAACTTATGTTTCATGCTTAAATGCATGTGTAACAGTTGTGTTCTTGTTAAATAAATATGAATACAAAATGTTTGAAGAAAAAAACACTTAAAGAACAGCACAGGTTCAGTTCAGACTCCTGTGAGGTTGTGATAAATGATCTGATGTTCCTTCAGTAAGCTTCTCATATTTAGCTTTGTGCAGGGCGTTGTAGTGGTGACTTGTATTCAAACCCTTCATAGAGACGGCCTCTCTTAGCAGACTAAAAACACAGCTTTGACTTGAAATTTTATGAACACACAGTCTACCCCTCAAATATCCATATATGTCAGCAGACCAGTCAGGAGTCATGTGGCCCACACACCAGCTGCCCGTCCCTGTGATGTAGGAAATATTTTCACTGCACTATCAGTACATTCAAACTACAACACAACATGTACAAACAATGAATGCTATTTGAGAATCTGAATAAGCTAAATTAGTAAGTGCAATGCAAGTATGTACAATATGAACGAAAACAATTTAATTTCAGTATCAGAAAAAGCATAATTCTGTTTAATATCAGTAAACACACTAGACAACTTATGAAACACTTTTTATGTCTAAATTGCTAATAAAAGTTGCATATTTGATCAATTTATTACATGCCTAAAAGAGACTTCTAYTTGATTTTTTCAATTAAATCTTCAACGTAGATGTCTTTAAAATGTTCAGAAGTTGTCTAAAACCTCTCAGTGTGACAGGACCTTAAGTGTGAGATGACAGATGCAGTTTTAGTCATATTATTCAGACATTAAAAAATAAAACGTGAAATATGCAGTACTGTAACACCTCACATCATAATGTCTCATATGGATTTACAGAATGTTGTGAATGTCCGCAGGCTGCTGAAACAACTTGAGCTCAGTGGCTGTAAAGTTTAATGAGGTGAAGTTAATTGGCTGTATAGCGGCCATCTTGAATTAGTTTGACTCAGAAGAAAATATTTATTTGTAGATGTACATCTAATATTACTTCCTGAGAGTTTTATWTAAATCTGATCAGTCATTTACAATAAATATGCCTTATTAGTCAGTTAACTTTTTTTATTGTTTTACATAAATAGACAGCTTCTGTGTTTTTGGTCGAGTATATGAAATGCTATAAACCTTCTCCATGTCAGTGAAATCATTTGCTGCTTGACTTTGAACTGGACAACTGATAGTTTCATTTCATTTCATCACATATGAGTAGACTGCTAACTAAATCRTTATGGTGGCTTTGATCTTTCATTAAAACATGTTTATATACAGAAGAAAATGCTTCACTGTTTCTCATAGAAACACACTGTCTGGTTGCTTCAAGCTTCCATTAATTATTTGGAAGTTTTTGAGCAGATTTGGTTTTTGAACAAAGAACCAAAGCAGTTGRGACGATAGCAAGAAAACAAAACCTGTTTATTTTCTAGGCAATGAAAATGAATAAAACAGTAAAATGTGAGAGAAAGAAAAGGAAATCTACCTTTTTTCTGCAGYATAGCACTCCCACTGCGCCTCCCTATGTGGTTTTCTACATAACAGGTGTAGTTGGCCAGATCTGCTTCGTCCACAGCATCAAACGTCAGAGACAGCTCCACCTCCATCTCCCCTAAATGTTCCCTCAGGATCCTGAACAGACAGAGCGACGAAACAACACATTAGTAAAACTAAAAATATCTTCACATYAAAWTACTTTGGTAAAAATGYCTTTTATTGACAGGAAAGTACTTAAGTAAATGTCAGAAAACTGCCCCCAGTAATCGGAAAGTAAAAGAAAACTTTAAAACGCACTCCAAATAACTGAATTGTTGAATTTACTTAAATAATGTCAACTTGTTCCACTACGCTGAGTTGAGTACATGTGAAGCAAGTTACTCAACTCAGTTCAGTGGAACAAGTTGATGTAACCTGGTTAAGTAAATTATACACTTTATTTTTTAAAATACATAAACAACTCTTTTCTTGATAAGTTCTGATCATATTTAAATTTGGAATGTGCAACTAGTTGGACGATTTAAGCAAGATGGCGGCGCATGGACATGCTGCAGCTCACAGCTCCCCGACTGTTTTTGTGTGTTGACTGTTAGTGTACACATGTTTTGTCTTTTTTAAACTTTTTGTTGGGCCAACATCACATACAGCTGACACAATCTCCTGAAGATCAGAATGTGTAACGGCTGTGATGTAACCATAGAGTTTATCAGCTTGCAAGACATATCGTTGGAGGTTGCGAGGACCTCCATGGTTCACTGTACCAGCCGGAAGCAAGCAGAGGCGGTGCAGGGATCGAAAGCAAAAGAGAGGCTGTAAGCAGCTACATAAACTACCACCACTGAGCATTTCTCTCACCAACAACAGATCCCTRGTYAATAAGATGGATGAACTGAGGCTTCAGGTGYAGACCAATAAKACCATTAAAGACAGCTGCGTCCTGATCATTACAGAAACCTGGATTCACTCATCCATTCCAGACACTGCTATCCAGCTAGCCGGCTACACAGTGCAGCGGTGTGAACGGACCAGTAACTCCAGTAAGAGCAGAGGAGGGGGGCTGTGTTTACATCAGCAACAACTGGTGCACAAACACAACCACCATGGACTACCACTGTCCTCCTGACCTAGAATATCTGACTGTTAAATGCAGACCCAGATACTTACCCAGGAAGTTTACTGTTGTCCTCATCACTGCTGTTTACATAGCACTGGATGCTAATGCTAACGCCTCACTCAGACTTCTACATGCTAGCATTAGCCACCAGCAGAGCTGCTACCCTGATGCTGTGGTTATCATAGAGGGGGTTTTAACCAGGTGGACTTAAAACCAGTACTCCCTAGATACCACAAGCAGATAAAGTGTGCTACCCAGGGAGGAGGACCCTGGATAAGGTGTACTCTAACATCAAGAAGGGCTACAGAGCTAGGCCACTTCCACACCTGGGCCAGTCCGACCATGAGTCACTGCTTTTAGTCCTCTGTTAACCCCCATCAGGAGAACTGCTCCCATTACAACAAAACCAATAAAAACCTGGCCTGAAGGAGCCTCAGAGCAGCTGCAGGACTGCTTTGAAAGAACAGATTGGGGCATTTTTGACGACCCAGACCTAGAGGTGTTCACTGATAATAAAACACTACACAGACATGGTCACAGTGGACAAATGTATCAAGGTCTACCCAAATCAGAAGCCATGGATGACCAAGGAGGTCCAGTTGCTGGTAAAGAACAGGAACACAGCATTCAGGTCAGGGGATGAGGACCTCTACAGTACAACACGATCGGACCTGAGAAGAGGAATCCAGCGGGCCAACAGGGACTACAAGAGAAGGATAGAAGACCACCTGGAAGCAACGACAGCAGACAGGTGTGGCAGGGAGTCCAGCACATCACCAACTTCAGAACCAACCTGGGAGCTGCTGAAGGGAACATCTCACTGGCAGAGGAGATGAACATCTTTTTCTCTTTGACACAAAGTCACACAAGACAGAACCAGTTTTCAAGAGCGAGTGAAAGGATCAACCATCTGGACTTTTTTACTCTACATCACCATCTGGAGCCACYCTGTGAATCGTAAGCCAAAAATATTGTCAAAGACGGCAAGACCTAAACTGCAGTGAAGTGTGCAAACTCAAATTAGAGATAAAAGATGTCAAAACAATGAGTTTTACATTAAATATTTTACATTGTATTTAGAATTATTTGTTGAAGTGATTGAACCGTTTGAATGAGGGTTTGTTCCAGATTGTTTCACGTTTGACTGTTTGAGTCAGGCTATTGGTTTTCACTGTTAATTTCCTTTATTGTTTATTTTACATTGGATGTTGTACTCCTACTTGCACTGACTGAACAAGTTGTGTTCTTATTCTTAACAAAGCTACTGGTTTATTTAAGATTACTGTCGGCTACTGGTGCACAGTGGTCAAAAGAATTTATAATTTAGTTACATCTGTGTTTAAACAGTAGGAAAGACATTTTAAGTTGTCTGAGCTGTTTTTGATATTGGATCAGTCTCATAATCATCCATCATCCATCCATCCATCAATCCGTCCATCCATCATCCATCCATCATCCATCCATCATCCATCCATCATCCATCCATCATCCATCCATCATCCATCCATCATTC